AGCCGGCTCTGCTGTCCGGCGGGCAAAGGAGCTCCCCAGCCCTGGGCGAGTCCCACCCCAGGGATGAGTGGCTGCCGTTGCACCGCAGCCCGCAGCCTCCCTTTTCCACGGACAGCCGACAGGGTGGTGCTTGTCCTCCGGGGGAATAGTTCCTGCGCTGGTGGTAGGAGCACTGGGTGCCCGACCCCTAAGTAGGAGGTAGGGCAGTCACAGCGCAGCCTTCCTCTGAGTGTTCTGCTGCCACACAGATTGCCAGAGGGCTGAGTGAGTGGTCCGCGACTCGGAGCACGGCACCATTACTCAGGGGCACGCACAACAGCGATGTCCTGCCTCGGTCCCCTGCAGCAGTCAGAGGTACCCGCCTCACACGTCTGCACGCACTGCTAACACCACGGGAACAACGGCCTCTGTCCGCCTCTGCCTGTGCCCGCTGTAAAGGAGCTGCGGGTGAGAGCAACGGGGAACTCACCTCTTCCCCAGGGCTTTGCCCAGCCGCATCGGTGGCCTTGCAGCACCTCCCAGGCAGACGACTCCCCGGCTGCTGCTGCCATCTCCACTCAGCTTAGTTCCCTGATGCTTATTTCCATGCTTGGAGGGGTTTTTTCAGCTCTTTATGTATCAATCACAACAGTGTCAACCTAATACAACCCCTAGAGGCAGAGGTGACTCCCCATCGGAAATTAATAGTCTGAAAAATGTTGTTCCCATCCCCTCCCCATGCACTCAGATACCGCTGCCACACTGATCTCCCCTGCTCCCAGCCAGGCTGGGTGCGTACCTGTGCATCTCATCAGCAGCTGCAAGTACTGGGTTTCATCTCTTGCCATAAATAAATCTCTCCAGTGCCCTAATCAGCTTCCCAAAGGCTCTCAGGAGCCACGGGTGTATGTTGAGTTGCTAATCGCTCTCTGCAGGAGTTGACATATCTGTGAGTCCTGCCAGTAATCTTCCCTGCCGCATCCTGGCTGTGTGGTATGCCTGAATCTCATCAGGAGGTTCAATGTAGGGGAGGCCGGAGAAAGGCTGTTCCATCAGCTAAAGCAAACCAAGGGCTTCAGCTTACACAGCTTGCCCCGTGTCAGCTTTCAGCCCAGGAGACTTTGGTCTAGGGACCCCCCGAGCTGAACATGGAGGCTCAGTGTGTAAATGGCAATGCAGTCTGGGGGAGAGGAGGAAAGGTCAGAGTGGGTTTAGAGCTGCTGTGAAGTTTCCTCCCTCTCCGCTATGTCCTGCATTTCCCTAATGATGAGGTGAACACCACCTGGAGGGCAAATGTGCCCCTACACGGGCCAGAGGCAATCCACACACACCCCCCCACCCCAACCCCGCTGGGTTTTGGAGCAGGATCCCCTGGGGGAAGTGCAGTCCCTCTCTCCTTCTGGAGTGCAGACAGGACTGCACATCAGCAAGATGTGAAAGTACCGAGATGAGCTCCAGATGGGAGTTGATGAAGCACAGAGAGTCTGCAGATGGCTGCAGCCACAGAGGAGAGGGCTCTCGAGGAGCAGAGGGAGGCTCAGGCAAGGCAGCGTGAGGAAAGGGAGGCTGAGAAACTATGAAAGTTCGCTGGAGCAGAGCCAGGGGAAATGTTGAAAACCATTCAGACCTGGATTTTAGGACTAATGGGACTATGCAGGTGGTGGCAGCCATCTGTGAGCAGCCTAGGGGCACGTTGTGTGTGACAGAGCCTGAAGGGCTGGGATTGCGCAGCAGAAAGTCATCATCAAGGATGCTGTTACACAAACTGGCAGTCATGTATGCCCCAGGGCCTTGTTCTCTGTTGGAACAGGCAACCATGGTGAGGCTGACACAGCCTCTCTCAGTGCTGCTCCGCTGCCCAGAGCAGCCAGGAACCCTCAGATCATGCTTTCCTACACCCACCTACATCTTAGGCACCCTGAAAGGGTGAAGAACAGAATGATGCTACATACTTTGCAGTTCAAAGCCTTCTGCATCCACCATGCCAGAGCGTGCTCTGTGCCAGAGGAAAGGGCTCTCCCTGGCCAGACAGGTCAGGGGCACTGCAAGGCTGGGACACCACAGCCCTGTCCGTAGCAGCCTTTGCAGCACCCAGACCCCTCCCAAGCAGGACCAAAATAAAAAAAATCTTACCAGCTCCTCCTTGATGCTCAGGCTGAAGAGGGACAAGTTGAATTCCCAGAGGCCAGCCACTGTGTCCAAGGCCAGCTGTGGGCTGGACAGACAGGGCAGAAGTTAGCTGACGTCCTGAAGCTAAAAGCAACTTTGAAAACAGCCTAATGAGATAAAAGCAGAGTCCCCAAGTCCCTACAGCTAAGGGAAAGCCTTAATTACCCTCTTCCCAGCTACAAAATTAAGAGTAAAAATAGAAGAATGCTGCCTTGGTTTAGCCTAAGCCCTCCCCAGTATTAGTTACGAACAGACATTCAAGATGAGTAAGAGCAGTGTGGGATATGCAGCATGCCCTCTTGCATCCCCCCAGCATCCGATGGCTTTCAGCTTGTGGGACTACCTAATTTTGATATCGTAACTCTCGGCAAAGCCATGTTGTTCCCTGCTCTGTTCATAGCCCTTCCCCTCACACCCAGGCTGCTGCCCAACCTCTGCTCCAGAGTGCCAGAGCCTTTTGATTTTGAAATCCAGTCACTTTGCATGGAGGTACCTTCCTAAAGCTAGCTCTAAAAAACACCTCGAACCTACAGTCTTGTTCCTAATGTGGCGCTTGTTGCTACCACAGCTGCTTTCTGTGCCAAAGAAACTAATTTGATCACAAAATCACGTAAAAGGGTTTTAACCTTCATTATTCTCGATTGCAGGCTAATTTAAATGCAGCATTCAAAAGGCCCTGCAGTGCAATTACACAACCAACTGCGGGAAAATTAATAGCTCTTAATTGTACCATGGCAGCAAGGTGTTATCAGTGTCAACACTTTTTCCAAGAACATTTCTTCTCCAAAAGTGTCACATCTACACCACCACCCCCCCAAGGAGTCCTACTAGCCCCTTCTCCAGCAAGCATCTTCTTGCACACAGTGATGAATTCAGCCCTGCTGTGTAGCAAACCCTCACTGCCAGAACCCTCCACAGCACAGAAGCAGTTAAGTTATGTATTTAGTTGGGAAAACACTTCTTCTATTACACATTGTTTCCAAGCAGCCCTTCTTGCTGGCTCAGTGCAGGCACTAGGAATGAGCAGGAGAAGGCTTCCCTGGCCAGCAGCTCCAGCCCAACCCAGCCTCAGGGCAGGGAGCTGCAGCCAGGCTGGGGAAGGACCTGCTGGCTTTGCTGGGGAATGGACCACTGGTGTGATGAGTGCCTGTGAGGTCTCACGCACAGCCCACGCTCCCGCTCTGCTGCTTTGAAATTCAGTGGTTTTCTGCTCTGCAGGTGCTCTGCCACCACGACTCCAGCCTTTTGCAAGATCTTAGTAAGGCCTCGCCCCAACTCAGCTCTCAACAGATCCACGTTAAAATACGCCTCACCACGAATGGGAATGCCGCTCTGTGCTGCCAGGGCACACAAGTGAAGCACCAAACCCAGAGGTGGAGCAAGATGGCAGCAGCACTACAGCAAAAGATGGGCTGGTTGACAGATTGCCCCTGCCCTGCCCAGGCATCCCTGCCTCTGCAGCCTGGCCACCCAACCCCTCCAGCACAGGCCGTGTGGTGGTTGCCCTGGCCCCAGCCCACACCACTGCTCTTCTCAGTGCCACAGCCATGCCAGAAAGCTGCTCCTGGTGCATTTGCTTTGGTGCATCTACAGGCAGGCTGTTCCAGTTCCCCTAGGAACAGCTGAGATTTGCTTTTATGCAAGAAAGGGTGCTCAAATCTGTTGCCATCCAAGGGGAACTGGGAAGCAACAGCCAAGGAACAGCACCTGAGCAAAAGCCTGACAGTTTATCTTTTCCTCTTTCCTTCCATCAGATAGATGCAAATCAGTGGCAGCATGATAGATCTGGACCTGTGCTGTTATCCAGGTTAGCAAAAGTGGACGCTAAGTGATCCACACTCACTGAAGGTCCCAGTACCAGCACTGAGCATGAGATGCAAGTCAGTAACTGGTGGAGCACGAAATATGCCCAGTACCTCTGGCTGGCAGCGGTCAGTGCAAAAGCCTGAAGCCTGGGTACCTTACAAGCATGCCTAGCTTGGGCACACTAAAGCCCAAGTTCCGCTAAAGCTGGCCTGAGGGATCTTAATGGCCTTTTCTGAATTTAGGAAGCAATGTATGTCCAGAAAAGCAGCAGCAGTCCAAAATGGTTAATTCTACAAAGGTGCTTCAGCTTTGCCGAAGGGAAGCGGGAAAACACAGGTCAAGAAAGTTTGCCTGCTGTTAAGTGAATTGCATTATTGCTATGCAAACATTAGCCTGGTTCCTGAAAAGACCATAGTGACCTCATTTGATCTTTGAAAAGGAAAATAAAATTTGCTTGTTTGGGGCTTTTTCCTAAACTGGAAGTTATGGTGGAATGGAATTTGTTTAGTAATGAAATGCGAGGTTAAACTGTGATAAGGATGTAACCATGGTGATACGGGAATGGCTCTTGATGCAAGTTTGCAGAAGTGATTTGCGTAACCACTAAGAACAACAACTTTATGTATTCATCAATGTGATCATTGGGAAAATAAATATGTAAAGCAGGCTTTAAAAAAAAAATAAATGCAAGCTATAAAAGGAATGCTTGAGGGTGTGCTTCCTTGGAGCTTTCCCCAAGGTAGCCCTTTCTGGAAACTCTTATTTATTTTGCAAAGGTCTAGCAAAAAAAAAAAAACCAAACAACCAGCCATCAGCTGCTTTAGCAATGAAGAACATTAGCAGTATCTTTTGATTTCTGCCTGAGCAAGTCCAGGACCTCCTGCAGTAATTCTACTGCAGCAAATCATTACAGTGTTTGTTTTAGATGGGTTTGTTTAACTGGGCTCCAGCTGATCTCAGCCTAATCCAACAGGCAATATTTCCGGCATTAAAAAAAAAAAAAAAAAAAATCAAAATGGCAGGAA